TTGTGCAGCTCTGCGCACCACCCCCACTGGGAGGGGACTGTGGGTAGTGCATTTCCTGGGCTAAGAAATACTGTAAAGATCCTACCACGAGAGGCTGTTGGAAACATGGTGGCCTTGAGTCCATGTAGGACTTTTGCTGCTCAATGCCCCAGAATCCTTTGCGGCAGCTGCCTTCATACTTCCGAACTGCTAATTCTGCAGGAGATGCAAAGAATTCGGGAGGCCGGTTTTGAACCCTCAAAGCGCCAGCTACAGCTGTCTGAGCAGAAAGCAGGTGGCCCCTCCAGGGAGGAATGGCCCAGACAAGAGGGATCGGTTGGGAGAGGGAAGCAGCAAGCCAAGGGGGCCAGTCCCTGTCCTTGCCTAGAGCAGCAGGTAGGGCTGGGTCCGGATGAGCTGGAAAAGGCAGAAGTCCGGAGACTGGGCCCTACCTCCCGCCGGGAGATCTGTGCCAGGGGCGTGAGTTTGGGAGGGTTTGGAGCAGAGGGCCCAGCAGCAGCGAGAATGGGAAGCAGAGTGGGGTAGGCGGGATGGCTGGGCCTGGAAAAATAGCTGCCTTGACTCCAAGGCTGCTCACTAGCCAGAGGGACGAACTTGGGGTGGGGTTGATTTCAGAGCCAGACCAGGGAGTCGGCCCCTGCTCCCTGGGCCCACGTGGCCAGCCCCGGAGAAAGCCCCTGCCTGCCATCTCTGTAATGTGCCCCTGTGTGCTGGAAGCGGCTGGAGCGGCTCCCAGCTGGCCGGGGCACAAGCATTTCAGTTCCACTCATTGGTTCTTACCACTGGCTCCGCAGCACAATCCCTCCGTTCCCAGGGAGGGCTCTGAGGCCGGACAAATTGCATTCTCCACGGCCCATCGGGAGCCAGAAATGTTACCCCAGATGGGAGTCGGGCAAAGGCCCAGGCTCTGCTCCTGGAGAAGTCAGCAGAAGGAGTGAGCAGCCGGGAAGCCGAATCCCAGGGGTCGGGAGCAGGGGGAAATCTGGGAATTCCCACCCCCCCCCAGATAGAGGCAGAAACCCAGAGACCCTAGTGGGAG